GCCAGAAGGCAGATGCTGTCCATGCATTAGTTGGGCATTTGCTCACATCTCACCGATTTGGGTAAAATCCAAGAGTAAACTTATCTTTTTACCTTGTTGACCTCATAGGAACCTCAGGAAAATCCAGTGGAGGTTAGAATTCTGAACACTAGGAGTGCTTCATATTAGCTAGCTTGATTTGGGGACAACTTGGCTCTCATGTTCTCTCCCAGAGGGACGGGCGTGCACAAACACATGATGAAATTCCATCACTAAAACAGAACTATCTCAAATAAGCTGAGGGTGAATAAAGTTGCCAGCTTTGCAGACCATTGCTGGGATTAGTGATATTTATTCATTCATTCAACATTTACTGAGCACTTTTTGTACACAGGGATGTATGCTCTGTTAGGGATACAAAGACTGAAGACAGAGAGGCAGATGGCTGTGGTAGAGTAAGAGAAAACAGCCAGAAGTGGTCAAGTAAACTAGAGTGACAGTTTGGCAAAGTGTTATGGTGATGGTGGGGGGGGGGGGGTTTGTCCTGACTTGTTCAGAGTCTTACAGGAAAAGTGGGAATTGGGAGATTGAGAAAGGAGGGTCAGAAGTTCTTGGAGAAGGGAAGACTATGGCAAAGGTCGAGAGATGTTGAAGCAGGAGTGGCTCCAAGCATGGCTGGGGACAGAAGGGCTTTATTTAGTTGACTCCTCTCAAGACCTCCAACAGTTCTACCCAAACCACCAATATAATCTAAGAAAAAAACTATGCATAAGATATTTCAAATCAATGGAACCTCCCATTGGAAATGGAACCTCCAATTCCAATCTGATAATGGACTCTAAATAGAAGTGCTGGAGGAGCCACTCTGGGAATGACTCTTGCCTATTGGGAGTTTGGTATGGAAGGAAAGGGAATGGTAAAGTCTATACCACACTCAGTGGACTCGATTTCTCCAATGTTTCTTCCTTTCCTGGAGGGAGCTGTTGGTGCAGATAGAATTAAAACTGTTATCAGCAAGTTTTATGCCAGCCAAGGAAGCAAGTGTCCATTTTGGGCTCTCCCTGGCCATGTTTATCCTGAGAATTTGAGTTTGGGGATGTCAGGGACCATATCCATCATCTCCACGTCTGTTTCTCTAGTACCCACTGGAGTGCCTACATATAATACATACAAAATCATTATTTTTTGGTTGAATGAATTCATGGAGGAATGAGCAACTGTGGATATTGGTAAGTAAATATTGTTTTATGCATGACTGTAGAAAGAATGAATGTTTTGCTTAATGTTACCCATTGCAGATAAATTTGTTTGAACAGTAGTTCAATTACGTCAAGAGTAATTGCCCATTATTACTGACATAGAGAAATTATTCCTAGAGAAATAAGCAGAATTTTCAAAGCATAATTACCTCTGACATTAAGTGACTTCTCTGTGGACTCATTTTTGACAACAGAAAATTAAAAGTTCCATAATACAGCAATAGTGATTCACTTTTCCATCTGAGGGTGTTCCTCCTTGCTTAAGTATGACGTTTGCTTAAAAGATGAAACCACCTCCAATCTAAATAATATGGCATTTGGACAACTCTTCAAGGATGAACATTTTATTGGAATATAGGCACTTGACAGAGTAAATACGTGGTTACAAAGTGCTGTTAAGTTTATTTGCTTTATATAGTGACCAGAAAAACCCATCCACAGTGTAGATTTTATTCTTGAAGTTACTGACTTCAGAAGGTAGGTCCCCAAACCCACTTATTTATGGTAAAGTAAGAAGACACACATAGCTGACTTTTTTAACCTATTGAATCTGTATTGCTTTAATCAATAATGCCCTTCCCCTCCCCATATTAAAATTGCAATGTAGCATATAGCGTTCAGCACTTCTTATAAAGAATGAAAATCACTCATCTGGCAGAATTGTGAACCCCCTTGAAATCACCAACTCCAGTCTGGAGGGTTACAAAACCGGACTTGAGAATCTTTGCAATAAAATGTAGAAGATCAGGCCCAAAGACCTGCAGTTCCTCACACTCAGCCTCTTTATAAAAGCTTTTGGACAGGTTGGAATCTTATCCTTGTAACACTTTCCAAAGTACTTTTTTTGAAAAGAGAGTTTTCTCTGCATGACTCAAGGTACTACCGTCTCTGCTCTAAGTTGCAAAGGAAAAAATGACGAGCCAATTCTTTTTCAAGGAAAACATTCTCTTTGTAAAAGGTCAATAGTAACATAGCTCATTTAAAGGCATGGGATTTTTGCCGAAAACCATGCCCTGAGGTTTTATGCATTTCTAATGGGTTTGCCCCTAGGACAGATCCCCAGAGCAGCCTGCAGAAGCCTTTCGTGCTGCTCATTTAAATTACAATAACCTTGCTCTAACCTGGAAACCACTGAATCAACACAAACAAGTCTATTAAAAACAAGACAAGCTCATAGTAGCATGGTGCTATTCCACTCATCATGTTGAAATGAATACGGAATATTTTTTAAGGAACGTTAGTTTCCTGTTCCACCTTCAGACGGAACAATCATCCTGCTTCATCTAGTGAACTTGTCTTTTGTGAAATCTGTACAGAAAAATTCTGTGTCTTCAGGTATGTCCCCCCAGTACCCTCTGGCCTACAGGATGGGTAAAGTTAGGGCACTGATGTTCATCCATCCGATGCTGTGAGATGTACTTTCTTTAGGGTTGGAAAAATCTCTTAGTTTTCCAAAGGGTTTAAGAAGTCCTGAGGGGAGCAAAGGGGAGAAGGTGGGAAGCTCCAGCGTGGGCTTGGCCTGGGCTGGGGGCTCCTCACTCGCTGACATTCTCCTGGAGAGAGAAGGGCAGTCCTGGGTAGGGCTGGGCACTGCTTTTTTGGCCCCGGGCCTTAGTGGGCAGCGCATCTGACCATCTGGCTGCCTGCCTCTTGGACTTTGGACTCGCCCTAAGGGAAGACTCCCCAAGGGCAGGAAGTCCAATTACAAACGGCTCCCTGCCTGACAGCAAGCCCCAGATAGCCGGCACAGCAGCGTGACGGGCGTTCAGTTCTCACATTTCCTGAGCAGCCTGACGTGTGCCAGTGCTCTTGCTTGGCACTAGGGACATGAAAGTGACTTGAGAAGGCAGGGAAAAGTTATTCAAGGCTGTGTCTGTCTAGCAGGAAGCACACATGATTAATAGACCCCAGTTTCAGTCCTTGAACAGAGGGACCCCCAGAAGAGATGGGAAATAAACAATTTTAATACTCTGTGCTACATGCAAGGATATGACTGAGCACTGGGTACTGCAGGGACCAGAGGAGGCGTGGTCTCTACCTTCTTTCCCTACAAGGAGACCCTTCATAGATGTGAGGATCTAAACATTCAAAGAGGAGCTATAATGATTCAATATGAGAATGTAGTGATACTGATGATTCTTCATTCTTCATGACCTAGAAACCTAGAGATTCTTCGTGGGGAGGTGAACAGAGCTATATTTTAACTCCTGGTTAAACAGCTGAACTGTGGGATAAAAGAACTGATATAAACTTGCTGATGATGATCAAAACAGGCTTTTAAGACAATACATTGGGATTTAATACTAAAATTTATGGAAGGAAATACCAACCAACAGGTAGTTCCTGGGACAGAAGCTTTTAAAAAATAATATGATATTTTCTTGAAGAATAATAGAACACATCTTTTTAATCTTTTGCAAGTAAGTCTTTTACATTAACAGTTATTATAGGTCATGATCCATTGAGAAGATGTATCTGTGTCTATTTCCATTCAAGTTTAAGTTCTGGGAGACAGGAACAGAGTCTTTCTCACTACAGTATCTCCAGTGCCTGGGACATAACTGGGACTCAGTGTACTTGCTGAGTGATCAAACAAATGATGTCCACTTTGAGTGACATCTTTGGAACTTGATGTTGTATATCTTGGCTTTTCTCTTTCTCTCTCCACTGCCTTTCTTTTTTCTTTTCTCTCTTCCCTCCTCTCCTCTTCCTTCCTTCCTTCCTTCCTTCCTTTCTTTCTTTCTTTCTTTCTTTCTTTCTTTCTGTCTGTCTCTCTCTTCCTTCCTTCCTTCCTTCCTTCCTTCCTTCCTTCCTTCCTTCCCTCCTTCCCCATTCATTCACCTTATTCCCCTTCTGGGAATGAATCAGGACTGTTTCAGTGAATAGAAAGTTGTCATGGTTTGAAAATTGACATACTTTTTCTTTAAATTCCGATAGACCTTTTAATTTATGCTAGACAAAGCACCTTTATCTTTTCTTCTTCTTCTTTTTTTGGTTGTTGTTATCACTATGCTCAGCAGAGCATGTGGCATAGAGTAGCTTTCAAATAATGCTTGTTTAATTGGTAGTCTTCTACGCTCGATAATTAGCTAAGCCCTCTCTTCACAGTCTAAGACGAATCTGGAACGCTTTCAGGCCTACACATGCCAAGGAAATTTTCTTGCCTCATCTGAATTTCCCCAAGAGGTGATTAATTAATAAGAATCAACACGATTAATTACCAAGAAATTGATAGCAGAATTAGTAACAGGCTCAGACAGTCCCCCAGACCACAACGTTCCTCTGTTTCTGCTCAGCTTCCCCTGGGCTCTCTCGGTCATGATGTCACAGGCGCTGCCGGGCTGCCCACGGCAGGGTGACCAGTGTTCACCACCTACCCTTTCCCGTGGTCAGACTGTGGATGAATGCTGAGTCCTTCAGGGACGGTGAGGTGGGTAGAGTAGATGGTGAAGCTGGATTCACAATATACATTTGCGTTCTTACCGAAAATTAAAAAGCCTTAAAGTGCATTAGAGGAAAATGTGCAGTGTGTTGGCAATGTGCTCCCTCTGTTTTCTTCATCTTTGCTGGGACACCACCGCCTCCCTTAGCCACCCTCAGCTGCCTTTCACCCCAAACTCTCTTGTTACTTTGTAATCCCTATTAAAATGCTAAAGCAGTAATTCATGGTAGAACAGCTGAATTGCACAAAGGTCTGCCTCCGTGGGCATGCCCAGTGTGCATTTCCTCTGGTTTCATTACACACATTAAGGAAGCACTTAATTTTTTTTTTTTTTTGTAACAACTTGCGTGTAACCCCTAAGTATACCCATAACCATTAACCTTTGGCTGAGTTTGTGCAAAGGAATACTATGCCAAATTGTTCCTTTCACTCTTCTGAGGGTGGCTCTGGGCTACTCTCCCCCACATCTTGTGAATCGGGCAGATCGATGTTGGGAGCACTCCCTACCACCCACTGACACCCATGATCACCACCAGGCTTCATCTGCTCTGCATCCACACTGGCAGTAGCCTGGGCCATGGTGCTATCCCCTCCCCCTGCTTCTTCCACAGAAACCTGGCTCTCACTGGGGCACGTGTGGTCAGCCCTGGCCTCCCCCTCCACAGTGGCTGCAGCCTGGCCGTCCAGTCTGGAAGCCCTCTCTGTGAGCTCGCTCTCGGCTTGCTGCTCTGTGGGGACTGGGCTGCTGGCACTCTGGGCGAGCCCTTCACGGGTCAGCTGAGCCTCCAGACATCCCCCCAACTCCAGCCCGCCGGCCTCGGCCTCCGGAGGGGGAGAATGGGCCTCCCCCTCACTGACTTCATTCTCTTCACAGCTGTGCTGGCCCGAGGCAGCTGGTGCACTGGCCTCTGTGCACATCTGGGTTGTCTCCTCTAATTTTCCAATTTCTTGGGGAGCCCGGATCTCCTCGTGTGTATCTTTTTCAATCTCAAGGGTGGCAGATTCCACTGGCACTTCAATGGTCACTGTCAACAAATTTCTGAGCTCCTTTAAGGAGCCTGAGGCTGAGTTGGATTCTGGTTTTTTGTGGGTGGGTTCTCCGTTCTCAGGAGCCCCTCCAAACTCCAGCTCTGGTGAGCCTGTGCCCAGGGCTCCTGCCGTGTCCTCTGCAGCCACGAGATCTACGACAGGGCCATCGGTGCCTGAAATAACCACCTGTCCGTCCTCACCCGGGGGAGGGGCGGGTACAGGAAGGGAAAGGCTTTCTTCTTTGGCCAATGGACTAGGGACCCCAGGCTGGTTCTTTTCCCCTGACTCCTGGAATACTTCATTACTCAGGGTCTCACTCTCTGAAACCCCTGGCAGAATGGTGGAGGCTCTCCTGGAAGGACTGGCCTGGCTTGACCCCACAGAGGGTTTTAGATCAGTTAAGCTGGACACGCTTTCACTGGGCAAGGCCATGTTGTCTTCAAACAAGTTGTGTTTCTTCAGGATAGCAGCTTCCTTTATGACTGAGAGAGACCAGAACACAAAACAGGACATTAACACTCTCCCCTGACCACCCTGGAGTTTCTGATTTTATCCAGAAGCCAAACTTCCTTCCCAGCTTTTCTGGCTTATCCACAGTTTCTCAACTTCAAATTCCAGCTTTTAGTCACCCTCTTCCAGCTGTCTTTCCCTGACGACCTAAAGCCCACACACCCATTCCAAACTCTGGGCCTCTGCAGCATTCATTCTTTCATTCCTTCGCTCATTCATTTTATGAATGGGACGGACTTTGAGAATCCAAAGATGAATAAAATACGGCTTTGGCTTTCAAGGAGCTCGCAGTCTAGAACAGCATCACCTGTATCACTATGGAGGCCCCGTTGCAGGTCAGGCCTGACATTTCTCTGCTTCACCTCCCAGTCCAGTCCTGAACGCATAATGGGTGCTCAGTACTGAGCAGGCAGAGAGAGCCCTGTTGACCTGTAGTGTCTAGAATGGAGACCTGTGTGCATCCAGCTCGGTCTTAGAGGCCTTGAGGGAACTAAAAGCGTTAACAATAATGATAGCAGCTGACAGTTTTGACCTTCCAGAGCTGCGCACATTGTACAGTGCCCAACAGTATCACATTCAAGGGGGTACCATTCGCATCAGGATCAGCACAGATTTGTGTGGTCGGCAAGATTCCCCAGCCCCTAGCAGGAGAGCATCCTACTCTGATAAGATCACTGTATCATGGCAATTTTTTGACAGAGAGCAGACAAGTGTCCAGAGAGTGGGAGCCATTTCCTAATTGGCTCGAAGGTACCCCAGTGGACTGGCCTTGAGCGGGCCCCTCCGGTCACACACAGTGCTGACATCTTTCTATTTCTTACCTCGCTGGGTTGGCTACTGTGACCCGGGGCTTGTGCTGGGCCAGCTTTCTTTGTGGAGGGTTTTTTTGTGATACTAACACCTTCTCCAAGGAAGGTGTCAGGTCTGTGGTTTCAGAGAATGGCCCTGTAGGGTGGGTTTCTATCTAAGTTTTCCTGTCCACAGGCCCATCACAAGCGAGGCCTAATTCCACGGACGGGGGACACGGAGTACTGTGTCAGCACCTTGTGTCTGCTTCTGTCCAGCTGACAGGAGGTGAGGAATGTGCTGAGGGAGCAGCTGGCAGCCCCTGCTCCAGGATTCACCTCCTCCTGGCTCTGGGAGGGGCTGTGAGTCTGTGGCTAAAAGCACCTGTTTGCCTTTGTTTCTGTCTGGAGCAGCTGGGGGAAGACAGCTGTTGCTGAGACAGTCCAGCTTTAATCTCCCCAAACCTCGGTTTTCTCTGAAAAAATGAAGCTTGAAATTCCTGTCTCACAGAGTTCTTATTTATATTCAAAGAAATAATATCTAACGGGCCAGCACGGTGTGTGCCAAACCATGGACCACAGTCACGGTCAGTAAGTATCCTTCTCTCTTTCCTCTCCGTTCTTCTCTGTCTCCCCAACACACCAGTATTGATTTCCTCTTCCCCTTCCGTACCTGTTGAGAAACTTCGCTGGCCTCCCTGGGTCCCCCTTGAGGGGTGCTCCCGTCCATCTGGTGTCCCCACCTTCAGCACCAAGAAATTCTCCCTTACCTTTCAGAGTTTCATCAAGGAGGCTCTGATGTAAAATCTCCTCATAGACATTTTCAACATGAATCATGTTGGTGTGATCTGCAAAAATGAACTGCTCATATTTCTGAAGCTCCTAGAGGGTGAGAGATAGGAAGACAAAGGACAAGGCATGAGAGGCCAGTTTGTAGAGGAGGTGCAGACAGCATGGCTCCCATACGTGACCCCTTCTTCAGAGAGTGGCACCCTCAGCACTGGTCATTCCCTTCCTTTTCCCCAGGCACCGAGGCACCATTTCCTGTACTGCACACACAGATTTTGATCATCTCAAAGCCCTATCGGTGGGTCAGTGGGTCTCAAGGCCCTCCTTTTTTTCCATTATAGCAAAAATGCTTCTTTCTTGTGAAAACATATGGTATCTGTCTTTCTCTGACTGACTTATTTAGCTCAGCATAATACCCTCGAGTTCCAACCACATTGCTACAAGTGGCCAGATTTCATTCTTTCTCATTGCCATGTAGTATTCCATTGTATTGATAAACCACATCTTCTTGATCCATTGGTCAGTTGATGGACATTTACGCTCTTTCCATATTTTGGCTATTGTTGAGAGCGCTGCTATGAACACTGGGGTGCATGTGCCCCTATGCATCAGCACTCCTGTATCCCTTGGGTAAATTCCTAGCAGTGTTATTGCTGGGTCATAGGGGAGTTCTATTTGTAATTTAAAAAAAATTTTTTTAATGTTTTATTTATTTTTAGGAGAGATAGAGAGAGACAGCGTGAACAGGGGAGGGTCAGAGAGAGAGGGAGTCACAGACTGAAACAGGCTCCAGGCTCTGAGCTGGCAGTCAGCACAGAGCCCGACGCGGGGCTCGAACCACGAACCGCGAGAGCGAGATCATGACCTAAGCGAAAGTCGGACGCTTAACCGACTAAGCCACCCAGGCGCCCCCTATTTGTAATTTTTTAAGGAACCTCCACACGGTTTTCCAGAGTGGCTGCACGAGTTTGTATTCCCAACAGGGAATTATTTATCTTAAGTTTATACCTAGAAGTGAAATTGCTGGGTCCTGGAATAGATGTTTAACTTTATTAGGATGAGGTCTTTTTCAGGTGTGGAGAATCTCTAGCCAAGGGCTCTTCAGGAACATTCTCCTCCTTCCCTCCAACTGGCCCTGACACTCATTGACAACCAGGCAGGATGCAGAAGCCCTGAAAGCCCTGAACTCTTTTTGCTCCCAGAGAGTTTCCAGATGGCTCGAGGACAGGGAAGGGGTCAAAATGTACAAAAACCACATGCCAGGGATTAAATCGGTTATCCTTACAGCTGATGTTGCTGGAAGGGCCCCAAGGGCCAGGGCTTTAGCAGCAGGATTTGATACCTTTTGCCTGAAGGGACAGGGTTTACGGCAGGTGATCAGAAGCCAACACATGCAGACGACCCTCAGTGCTACAGGACTTGGGGGCCTGCCGTCCAGGACCAGGTGATAATGGGGTCCCTTTAAATCCACCCTAGAGCAAAGCCAAAGGATTGAAATGACATGAGCTCCCATGACCCAGAGAAGGTCTGTGAGGCAGGACTGACACACAGACAAGAACTGTGTGAAAAGAGCACCTGCCAGGAGACTGGACACTGCCCTGGATTGGCTGTGGGCCTGAGCAAGTCATGTCACTGCTCTGTGCCTCTCCCTTCCTCTGCAAAGTAAGGGGCACGGGCTCAAGTCTGCAACACCCTTTCATCTCCCCAGGTGGTCTCCCATTCTGATTCTTGCCTCAAGACTAGGTGAAAACATGACTCTGGGACATCCTCTCTGACCCCATAAGCAGAGCGGGACACCAGCTCAGAACCCTGGCCACCACTCTTCGCCATAAGGCCACTGCTGGGCTCATCACACAGCATTCCATATGCCCGTCTGTGCCTGCCTGCTGCCTCCAGGCTATGAACTCCAGGACAGCAGGGACGTTGGCCTAGCACAGTGCCTGGATCACATTTGACACATATTCAATAAATGTTTTTGGAATAAACAGCAGGCCTTTAAAATTTTGAACAGCTAAGTAAGTGTGTGGAAAGGAACAATTTCTAGGGATGTTTATACTGTTGTGACATGTCTGGCTTTATAAAATAGGTCTTCTATATTGAACTGATTAAACGCTAACATATGTTTAATTCCTTGGAGCAATCTAACTGGTAGCCCTGAGGGTGGATCTTGGGGAATCAGAATTTTTTTTACAGCTTCCCAGGCAATTTTAATGTGCAGCTGGGATTGAGTACCACAGACCTAGGAAGCTGTGATATAAAGAACCATGGGGACCTTGCTTTAGTAAAATAAAGAATCCTCCGGGGCGCCTGGGTGATGCAATTGGTTAGGCGTCCAACTGCGGCTCAGGTCATGATCTCACGGTTCGTGGTTCGAGCCTCATGTCAGGCTCTGTGCTGACAGCCAGCTCAGAGCCTGGAGCCTGCTTCAGATTCTGTATCTCCCTGTCTCTCTGACCCTCCCCTGCTCATGCTGTGTCTCTCTCTCTCTCTCTTAGAAATAAATAAAACATTTAAAAAATTAATAATAAAAAAAAGAATCCTTCAATGAAGCAGGTAATCCCCCAATCTGCCCATTCTGAAAATCCAGCTTTTAGGAAATTTCTTGGCAATGGAATAATATCCTTCTTTCTGAAAAGCTAGGGTCTCAGCTTCTTTTGAAACCAATCTCTCTTGATTAAAAATCACAAGAGCATTTTATAGATTGGGTACAATTCCGCTGATGCTTGGAAAATGGGAACTCATGAGAAAGGGGACTTCTTTACCCTTCTCCTCTTCTGGGAGAAGGAGGCCTTGCAGCGCCCAGATTGCTTTGGGATAGAAGAAGAAAAACACCCTCAGCAGAATGTCTGGGTACAGACACAATTAGAGCTGGGCTAAGTCCTCCTCTGGGCGGCTACATCTTCCCATCCACAAATGGCCAAAGGCCAAACATACAGACAGGTGCTTCACTCCTTTGGCTTTATCAAACTCCTAGAAATAAATGCTAGGTACTAGATATGCCAAGACTTTGAAGAAAAAAAAAGTATAGAATATACAAATAACCAAAGAAATTAATGTAGTAAAATAACTTACGCAAAGGGTTTTAATGTTCCAATTCTTGGAGACCCTCTAAGCTACCCCAAAAGCCCTTTTTGAATTCTAAAAAGCTCTTTGTGATTTTCTCCAAGAGGGAGAAAGCACTGAAAATGTCCAGGCTCATAGATCATTTCTGAAATACAGAAACAGCAATAGTAGTAGTAGGTACCATTTACTGAGTGCATGCCACGTTAGCAGCAGGTGTGAGCTGAGGTCAGTCTCTGGTGGTTACCAGCTACGACTTTGGGCCTGTGACTTAATCCCTCAGATTTCCTCATTTGTATAATGAAGATATAAATAGCACCTCCTCCTAGCATTGTCGTGAAAATTATTGAGATAATCCATACAAAGCATTTTATATAGTGCCCAACACAGGGTAAGCACACATCAAATATCAATTAAATCATTCTAGTCTCTGCAATCTTAAAAAACATACTGCAAAATATGTCATCTCCATTTCCTAGAAGATGGAACCTAGGCCAAGAAAGAGGAAAAGTGACTTGCTCAAGGCCCCAGAGCCAATACACAGAGGTGCCAGGACTTGAACCTAGATCTTGAACAAGCCTCCACAGGCAGCTTGCCCATTGCTCTGCTCTGCAGACTAAGTCACACCTTCATAATCATGGCTGTCACTGGTAGCAGGTTTAGGTGGTTTCAGTTTCATTGATTTCACCAAACAAATTTTACTGGATTTAAAAGAAAAAATACCCTTCTGTAATCATGTTTCTTAGGTCTATTCCTAGATTTAGCAGTTGAGTTTCAGAGGACATGTGGTTCCCATGAGTCATACTATGATGAAGAGCACGTGGTGTCCTCAGATGGTCTATGGAAACCCTTAATTTGGCTCAAAGTCAGATCATTGCCTTTGAGAGTTTGTCCAGGCCAGGGGTCAGCAAATCTGGCAGCTGCTTGTTCTTTCAAATAAAGTTTTATTGGAACACAGAAGGACCCATTGTTAATATATTGCCTACGTCTGTTTTTGCACTTAGCAGAGCTGAGTAGCTGCAACAAAACAGTGTGACCCATGAAACCTAAAAGATTTACTAGCTGATCACTGATAGAAAAATTTGCTGACCCCTCCCTGGTGTAGTCTACTGTTTGGAAGCACATCATAGCAAAAGAACTTGCTTGAACTTCATAGCAATAAAAGGAGGCTCTCTGGAGTAACTCATCCCCTTACTGGTTTGCACGTGGATGCCAGTGCCTTCTGCACAGTGGGAAGTGTGATTTGAACCAGTGCCTCTTGAAATATCCTCTTCCGGATGGTGCTGCTGTCATAATCATATTGCTGTCAATACAGAGATAGAAACATATGCTAAATAGCAACATTGCAATCTGTTAACTTTTGCTTAAACAAAAACTCAGTCACTCACTTGTCTCCATTTCCTCCTAATTTCTGAGAACCTTGTGGTGTTTCTAAGGTCTCAGAGATCTTATCATGCAATCCTCTCAACTCAGGGTGGAGGATACAACTATTAGCGATCCATCTTATCTTCCCCTCTTACAGATAGGGAAAGATCTGTAGGCAAGATCAAAACAGTGACTTCTACATTCCAAAGAAGATGGGGACAGAACTGGGGAGTGAGTTTGTATGTTATCACCCCTGTCCTGGGTTGCTCCATGGGAGCCACAATCATCTACTTCTTTCACTTCACATCCTAAAAGCAGGATTAGTGGGTTGTAATGATTTTCACAAGGGAAGAGAGTCTGGCTTATAGCAACCTTAACACTGTGGCATGTTAACCAAAGAAGTTTAGTATCTAGACCAAGAACAATGACGATTCACTGCTCTGCATGGAATATTCAAGCCTAGGGACCACAGTTTGGTTTTAGATGATACTTTAAGGGGATCACAGACAAACTGGAACATAGTCACAGGCATGTGAGCAGAATGGTTAAAGACAAGGAGGCATTCATACTGGAAATAACAACTTATGGTGAACTCTTAGCTCTATTCAAACAACCAAAGGCTACTATATTGAGGGACATGAACAGAGAGGACAGAACCAGAATCACCAATGGTGAGAACTTTGGCTTCACATTAGAAGTATGTTCTTTCAGTTAAAGGTGTCCGGAGAAGAAATGGACTGTCCTGAGAGGTATAAAGTGTCCCAACACTGGAGGTGATATTGACATTGATACTATCTTTTCTTTCCAATTGGAAGTTCATTATTATTTGTGTTACCATAATAAAAATTGCATTTAATCTCAGTGATTTGGTTGCCAGAGTTCCCTACTTCCTGTGTGGTACTTTGATCTTCTGCTTCAAGGCACTGCGTAGGGGAATAGGTAGTAAGAAATTAGTGGACTAAGAATAGTTTGAGCTCTAGGCTCACCATTGACTAGCCTGATGAGCTTAAGTAAGACACACTAGCTCTTCGTGAGTCAGCTTCCTCATCTCTATAATGGAGACATATTCTAATTATATCACAAGTCCTTGTGAAAACCAAACAAAGCAGGATAGGTTAAAAACAAAAAAGCTTTAAAAATATACCATAGATGTGTAAGCTGTTATTATTAAAAACCATTTGGTTATATACTTAAGCAGTAAGTACATTAAAAGTACATTAAAAACAATTTCACATGGTGGGCAGCCTTTTTTTTTTTTTTTTGAGTATTTCCTTTGCCAGGAGATTTTGATTTTTCTAAAAAATGTTGGCCAATTTAAATGGATTTTACTATGTAAACTCTTTGAAGGAGGCTGTGTCTTGCCTATCACAGGTAATACCTATCACAATGTTTTACTTATAGTGGACAGGCAATAAATATCAAGTCCAATTGCTATGAAAGTAAGCAGGGAACAGGTCACTTCTAGCTGATAGGCAATGATGCCGAGGGCCTGCGGTCCCTAAATCTGCCACTAGATGGCAGAACAGGCAAGAAAGTCATGCTGGGGGACCAGTTGTGTGGTAGCCATTGCTACCTCAAGGGAGCCGGGGGCTGTGAAAGAGAACTTAGTATTTTCCACTTAACAAAAGAAGCAGGGGTCACGCTCTTGTTTTATGCTTTCCACAAATGAGAGAATGGTTTACCTTTAAGACTCGGAGCTTCACCTTCTCAATGGTGACCACAATTTTGGAGGCCTCTCCTTGGAGGTGTGGGGAAAGCAATTGCTTGAAAGTGAATACTGCATTCTCCATTAGCTAGAAACCAAAAGCGACACAGAACGGTGCCTGGTCAGAGGCCAGCGTCTCTACCCCGGAGCAGGGAGGGGATGACCATCACAGTCCCCTCAGGCACTACTCTGGGACCACCCAGGACAACAGAGCCTCATGCCCTCTACATGGGTTGTGAAATAAATAGGCACCTGGCCACAGGGGAATCGATAAGAGTCTGAGAAGTAAGCACACACTCACACTTGTGTGTTGGTATGTATTTTCTCCCCTTCTCTCTTCTTATTCTCTGAGCTGGAAAACCCATGGAGGCCATGGGGTTGAGAACACCATCCTCCCTGTGGGAGTCTCCCCCAGTCTCTATGCCTGCAGCCAGGACTTGACAAAGTGAGGTTGGGCGGCTTCTCCAGTGAGTTTTTGGCTGCTTCTTAAATCCTGCACTTCCATTCTTGGGTGGATGTGAACCACTCTGGCACACCTCTCTCCACTCCCAGCCCACCACCCCACCTCTCTGTCTTTCTCTGCCGGACTGGAAGGGAGGCAGGGTCAAGGCTTGGTGGGGAGAGTGGCTGATGTGCACAAGAGTCAGGAAACGGAAGGAATTTAGATTTCTTATTCTCTGCACGTGTGCCTGTATCAGCTTCACCAGGGTTCAGTATTACCAAAGGGGCTTCTGTTAAACTGTTGCCCAATTTTGTTCCTGGTTCATTTTTAATCCTTCACTCAGAGGCTAGATAATACGGTATATCACTTAATCTGTCCTGTAACTTTTAAGGACAAAAATGGTTCTTTCTTCCCCAAGCCTGTGATCCCAACACGTGAACATATACCTTTGTTATAGCACTCTCAAACACTGTTAGTGACCTTATCTAAGCATCTGCCTCTGAAGTGGGGTCCGGCACAATGTCCAGGCTCCTAGGGAGCTCCCCCAGAACACCTCTGAAATAGAATTGGCCTCTTATGGCTTCAGTGATCACATCTTTCTTCATTTAGAAAGCATTAGGGTGTGGAATGGATTTGTAGTTGTTCCTGGAGAAAATGTTCCTTGTGGGGGAAAAAAGGTAGATCTACCAAGTAGATGCAAGAAATCCAGATAGGAAGCCATGATTGATTGATTGATTGATTTACTCTTAACCAGGTTAGGGAATTAATTTAATCCAGTAGTTCTCCATTGTGGCTGCATATTAGAAGCAGTGGGCATGGGAGTGGGGGAAATCACCGGGAGTGGGGTCTAGACATCAGGATTTCTCAAAAGCTCCCCAGACGATTTGAATGTGCAGCCAAGGTTAAAAGCACTGGTTTGACAAAGCAGGTAATTGCCAGTTAATGCTGCCTTATTTCCCTGAAATGGTTTTTTTTTCCTTCCTGATGCTCGTTCACATGGAAGAAAGATGAAGCCAGCGGGGAGGACAGGTACGTCCTCACTCCACACGATGATGACACAAATGGGCCTCACTGCCCAGAGCCACGCTAGCACACCAATCTCACTGGCCAGCCCCAGGTTCTCTGCTATCTCCATCCTCACCCCCAGGGGGTCCCCTGGGGCTCCCACCTCCTGCATGTAGTTCTGGGTCCTCTGGACCACCAGATCGACGTGGGGGAATCTGAAGCGGCTCTTGAGATCCTGCAAGCGCTCCTGGAGCAGGTTGACTTTAGTATAACAAGGTTCCATCTTCACAGAATCCAGTGGAAGATTCATAAGCCGGTCTAGATGCTGCGTTTTGGTGAAGGGAAAAGTTACATATCTTCAGACTCAGGAGCAAATTGGCATGCATATTACATATTACATAAAGTCTAAACTACGTCAGTGACATTTCAATTGTGCTGACTCCCTCCTTCGGGGGTCCCTGGGGCAGCTCTATTGCCAGGGCAGGGACTGGGGGAGGACCCGGCTGGAGGATGGAAGGACCCAGGGAAGCCTCTAGGGGGCTCCAATCTTGGCTCTTGATGGACTCTGGGCTCCCACCTCCAGAGCTGAGGCTCTCTGGCACCTGGAATTGCTGCTGGGTCCACAAGCCTCCCAAGCCTTTCGTAATGAGGGCCAAGCACTTACAAAACCTCAGCAAGGTCGGGATGCCCTTGCACCCGGCACTCCGGGAATGAAGCCAGACCCCCCCAGTTCTCTGAGGTTGTCAGTGCCCATGGAATCTCCCTCTGCCATAGGTGCTCTGCGGTGCCAGTGGGTGGGGAGGTGGGTGGTAGGAAGAAGCCTGGCCTAGGAGAGGCATCCAGTTTAGAAGCTGGGGTCCCCCTCTGGCTTGCACAAGTGATGACTTGATCAGTGAGGCCACAGGGCTTCCAGCAACGGACTGCCTCCGCTAAAGATGTCAGGTTTCACCAGCATACTCTTACACCGCGAGTATTGTTGCTGAGAGAAGGCATTCTATTTTCCAAGCTTACTTTAATTTAAAAAATTTTTTTAATTTTAATTTTTAAAATTGAATACTAGATATCTAGAACAAACAGGATGGCGGGTGGAGAAAGAGAAGATAGAAAGGTAATGACCATGTATGTTCAGGGAAAACTGGAGAGTAGCACAGAGTGGAGTAGTATCGATGGGCTGTCCGATTTTCAAGTCACAGAAAACAGACAAATCTAGGCTTCTAGGTTCCTCTAAATAGGAATTGTTCAAGGGACCGTTTTCATTGTGTTTTTAAAGAGAAAATGTTACTCTTGTTGAGAAGTCAGTTGTGGGAGCCACACTAAAGTGGAATGAATGACCACAAGCATGCGATCAAACTTGTCCCTCCTCACACAATATATACTGGATTTATTTTTAAGAAATAACAATTAAGTGGGCAGGAGAGGGAAAATGGGTTACTGCTTTGCTTCTGTCAGACCCACCAAAGTTTAAGCAAGCGGTAATACCTATAATACCTATTGCTGACGGGCAAATGGAAGAAAGTCCTCTGCCATATCCAATTGGTGGAAACATAAAATTTAAATCTTTTTCTTTAAAATGCAAATAGCAAAAAAAATAAAATAAAATAAAATACAAATAGCAACATCTGTTAACAGGAGAAATAAACCTATGTTTCAACCTAGCATGCCTCTCTCTTAAAGGCATGAAAATATCAGAGTATAATATATGTAACAAGGTTATTTATTGCAGCTTCGTCCATGATGCAGGCAACATTTGGAGAGTTGAATAAATCACGGTACATTCATACACGAAATATTATGTAGCCATTACAAAGGATGATTTAGAGCTAGAACAGCTGACCTGGAGACAGCTTCATGAGGTATGTTTTCAATGAGAACACTGATAAACAGAGTAGGATATGTAATATGATCCCATTTTTCTAAGAGCAAACAGTCTGGAAAAGCAGCCTCTAAATGTGTATGTTTTATATGCTATACAAGCAGGGGGAAAATACAGAATGACATATGCTAAAATGCTAACAACAGTGACCCGTAGGGAGGTAGATGATGCCAGGGTAGAATGGGGGGAGTAAAGGCAAGTTTTGAAAAAGACTGCAAAAAGAAACTTCAAAATATTCATAAACTTTATCCTGTTTATGTACAATTACATGTGTATGTATGCATAAAGATATAAGAAAGAAGAAAAAAAAAACAGTAACTGGTTTTATCCACTGACTGGTAGCGATGTCAAGAGTAAATCCGAGTTGCCATATTATAGTTGTCAGTGATTCTCGAACTTTAGGGTGCATCACATCCTTAGGGGGCCCTTGTAAACCAGACTGCTGGGCCCTACTGCCCTGAGTTTCTGATTCAGTACAGAGCTGGTGGGGGCCTTAGAATCTGTGTTTTTAACAGCCAGGTGATTATGATGCTGCTGGTCCAGGGAACAAACTTTGAGAAACATTGTTTTTATCATTATTGGAAACAAACCAACAAACAAAATTTATGTAAATGAGGATATATGCTTCTCTGTTTGTATGAACAAGAAAAAAACTATGTGAAAACACATTCTAAGCTGTTTATATTAGTTAATTCAGTGAGTCAGGAGTAGAGGTGGCCTAGGTGTTGGGGTGAGTATGGGTAATTAATTTTGCCTGTATATATATTATGCTCATATATCTATGTGAGCATATTGTTTCACTTGTGCAGGCAAATTACTATTCTTGCAACTTGAAAACCACTAATAAAGGAAATCAGGTAAATGGACTGAGGGATGGGGTGGCTGGGTGAATGGAAGAACTAGATGAATGGGTAGAAGGAAAGGAGGGTGAGGAAAAGAAGGAAGAGAGGAAAGGAAAGAATGTATGAATGCAGTTAAGCACCAAGAAAAAGGCAGCCCCAGGCAGACCATTCACACTCAACTCCTTGGGTTCATATCTACCTCCTTTAGCTGAGCGGTGTCTTTGGTCGTCTGAAAGTTCTGGCTAAGTTCATCCACTTCTTTTTCAAAGAGTGAGCGTACTTCACTGAATCCTGAGCTCACCGGCCCCATGAGCTCCTCCAGAATGGACGCTAAGAATGGCTGGACACTCTCCGCGCAGCTTCTCTCTGCTGGCTGGGCCACCATTGCTGAGATAGGAAACAGACAGAAAACCACCACTTGTTATAGGGAAAATTGGGTTCAAAGTCACACGAGCCAGGCCACGGCTGGGCAGTGTCCCACAGAGCCATTCAACAGCCAAGGCAAGCTCAAATGGGCAAGACAGACCAGCACAGAGTCCTGCGCCAGCACTCACCAGAATGGAAAACCATTAAATGCCTTCAGAATCGAGACACACAATCCCTCCCCTCCCCAAGCTTTCCTCTGCCCTGGGATGAAACGTATTTTTCTGCACGGTGCCTATAAACATTCAGTGCTTAATACAAAAAAGAAAATGCTGGTGACTCACCTATTTACTATCAATCATCATTATATGTGCATAGTTTGTCTTCTAAAAAACACGATTTAGTAAGTTTTTTTAATTGGGGTCTAACTGACATCTGACATTATATTAGTTTCAGTTATACAACATAATGACTCAATATTTGTATATAACAATTTATTGTTATTAATTAATTTTTAATTAATTTCTCTAAGAGTTCATCAGCTCATATAATTCAATTCCCCTCTCCCTCCTCAAGAGGCTTTTTAAAAACTCAAGTGCTGTCTTTTCTTGGGCAAACAGAAACAAATTGCATTCAGAAAAAATACCACCCACCTCCCATCTCCCAACTTTTGTTAAAAAGCTATTTTTTAGCAAGGGAATTGAGAGCAAAAATAAACTGTTGGGACCTCATCAAGATTAAAAGCTTCTGCACAGCAAAGGAAACAACCCAGAAAATTAATAGGCAACCAACGGAATGGGAAAAGATAGTTGCAAATGACATATCAGATAAAGGGTTAATATCCAGAATCTATAAGGAACTCAC